TTGGATTATCCAGAGGGGTCTGTAGCATTTCCTGTCTTTGCTTGCATGACTTGTCATGTAGTAATCAGTCCTCTGGTATGTTTTCAGTTACAATACTCTAACACATTTTAATCTATCATCTTCTTTAGGTCCTGTAATACATTTGACTCTTTGCAAGAAAATAGGAAGCGTTAATTTCTTAAAAAAAAAAAAAAGGCTATTTTACTAACGTTGCTCTGTTTCCATGCTTTTCCATTTAAACAGTTTTATTTCAATGTCATATTTTTGGATAGCCTCTTTGAAGACATTTTAAAAGGTAAACTCAACACTTGTAACAACAAGAATGCATAAAACTCAATTCAAGACATGACAATATGAAGACCTAGGGCCAAATCAGGCAGCAAACACTATGTCATGGCTGCAAATGGATGCAGTGACTGTAAAAATACAAACTGGTTGTGGGGTTGTTCAAATATGAAAATTGTGTACATCTGTGTTAATAAGATACAGTTTAGCAAATTTTAAAAGCCTCATGCTATTTGATCCAGGAGTTTCCTACTGGGTATTTTATCCTGAGGAAACAATCTTGCTGTGGCAGAAGATATATTCAGAAGGAACTTTACAGTGGCTTTTATTTTTTGGTAGCTGATATTTGATAACAAGTTATAGATCTTTAAATAATGGCATGTATGGGATACCAATCAGAAAAATTATTTTGCATTGTAATGATTAATATAATATTGAAGTAAGGAAGGAAAAAATAACCTAATTATGAAAGAATTTATATTGTGTAATTCTTTAAATAATGGAGATAAAAATAGTAAATATATTGTTTGAAATTAAATATGTTGTTTTAAGAATTAAGGGAGATTTTTATTTATGTTTCTTTTGTTTTTTTGAATATGAAAAACAGAAGTTGATAATTCCAATTAAGGAAAAATAGCTACATAAGGGAAAAAAACACTGATGACCTTTAAGGACTGTTTGATAATCTTTTCTTTTTTTAATTACTAATAAATTTTATTTGTGAATGTCACTTCATTATTTAACTTAACATTGCTGTATTCACGGATTATAGTATTATTTGTACGTTTATTTAAAAGTCCAAAGCTAGATTCCACATTTACTTTCATTCTCCTTTATTTTATGTATTTAATATGCTTATATAAATATGTTATTAAAATATAATATCTTTGATTTAAATATATGCATATTAATGTATAAATTATACATCAGTTCAGTTCAGTTCAGTTCAGTCGCTCAGTCGTGTCTGACTCTTTGCGACCCCATGAATCGCAGCACGCCAGGCCTCCCTGTCCATCACCAGCTCCCGGAGTTTACTCAAACTCATGCCCATCAACTCAGTGATGCCATCCAGCCATCTCATCCTTTGTCATCCCCTTCTCCTCCTGCCCCCAATCCCTCCCAGCATCAGAGTGTTTTCCAATGAGTCATCTCTTCGCATAAGGTGGCCAAAGTACTGGAGTTTCAGCTTTAGCATCAGTCCTTCCTATGAACACACAGGACTGATCTTCAGGATGGACTGGTTGGATCTCCTTGCAGTCCAAGGGATTCTCAAGAGTCTTCTCCAACACCACGGTTCAAAAGCATCAATTTTTTGGCACTCAGCTTTCTTCACAGTCTAACTCTCACATCCATACATGACCACTGGAAAAACCATAGCCTTGACCAGCTGGACCTTTGTTGGCAAAGTAATGTCTCTGCTTTTTTTTTCCTTTTTCATTTATTTATTTATGTTTCCATTTATTTTCATTAGTTGGAGGATAATTACATTTGTCAACACACTTTCACCTACAAGGGCTGACCCACAGATATTTTCCTGACTTAATCAGTTAATTACAATAATATTAATAGTATGTGTTTCATGTTGATTTTCTAACTCTAAGGTATATTCTGTGCAAGGAAAGTTTTCCAATTCTTCCTTATATACTTTATTCATTTGTTTTATTTATAATTTATATTCTGTAATGAAGTTTAATTCTTTCTGATAATTATTTATTCTGATTTTCCAACTTCCCAGATTTGACTTGTGAGAATTTCTTTAAGCTAAGGCCAGGGTCCTTTTGAAATAGCCCTATCATTTATTTTTTTCCATTTTTTGGCTGCTCTGCACATCGCATGTGGGATTTTAGTTCCCTCACCAGTGATCAAATGCAAGCCCCCTGTAATGGAAGCGTGGTGTCTTAGTAGCTGGACTGCCAGGAAAATCCCAGCCCCACAATTTTAAAATGCCTTACTCCTCCCTGAGCAAAAAACAAACAAACAAAAATGTCATCACCTTGAATTCTATATTTTTTAAAATATTCTATGTTTGTGTTCTAATATGTCAGGATAGTTTTTCACCACTATCAGAGTTTCAGTGGGCTTTCAGCTGGTGAATTTTATGTCACTCTTAGGTCCTTTGTTTTTTTCTCTCCCTCAGTTTCTAGACCTGTTAGATCACTGTAATACATACAGTGGGAGCTTGAAAGATACTTCTGTTAGAAATTGGTGTTTAATTTTCTGTTTACTGGTAATCTGACATTTTTATTGTCCTCCAACTTCTAGTTATGCTGAAGGCCTAGAATTTGTGTGTTTTTATTTGTTTTTGTTGGCTGTATATTTTACCGTATGTGTGGAAAGTTTCAGATTTAGGTGGCTATTATTACCACAACTACCTCAAATTCCAGGCCCATATTTTTAATCATTCCACAAAACATATTGGTATTTTAAGTTATTTGTAATATGCACTGATGTAACCAGACTTTCTGGGCTGCATAGCTTTACCTTTAGTGGTCATCGTTCTTTTAACCTAGATTATTTAAATTGAAGGCTTTTTTATTTATTATTATAATTATTTTATTGAATAGCACACCTCTCAACCCAGGAGTTGTCTCTGAAAAATGTGTCCACTGTAAACAAAAAAATTATGATTTGAGATGATTGAAACTTATGATTATGTACCAGCCAATTGTATTTTTAAAATTTCTCCTTTAGCTTTAAAAATTATCAGCTATGTATTTAAATACCTGGAAATTCAAGCCCATGACTTTTAAAAATGTATATGTAGGTAGAAATAAGGTATCTAATCAATAACATCTGATTATGACAATATTGTGAAATGTAGTTAGAAGCGGTCACTTAAACTAATGAAATATGCTCTTGGAACATAATTAATATCATTTTTCCAGTTTCACTGCAAAGAGGTCTGATCATAGTTGGTAGGTAAAGGGGGTTTGGATCAGGAGCAAAACATTCTGATGCTTGAAAATTGCAGAGTAGGAGAGAGTTTGCAAATTAGGAATTAGATGAGTGCAGGAGGCATGTCTCATGTGAGAGCAACAATCATTTTTCCGCTATCTGGAAGCTGTGAACCCAGACTTAAGATGTATTTGCTCTTTCAAAAAAAGATAGAAATTAGGACTCTTATGAGAAATCACTTGCTTTTGAAATATTTTTTAATATTTTAAAATCATGGTGTAGAATTTTTAAAAAAATTGCCTTACCCCAGTTTTGGTTGTGATGCTCCCGTTTGCAGCTTCTGCTCTGCATGAGGTGTAGGGACGAGGAGGTGTTGGGAGAAGAAATTGAGGTTGGAAGTGGCTGGCTCTAAGCCCAGGATCACTGCTTCTTAGCTGTGTCAAATTGGGCAAATCATGGGATTAAGGTTAGTTTGAATTCTCTTGCCTAGGAAGATGACTATGCTACAGCATGAAGGAATACCCAAATTTGCCATTTGTTATAACTTTGTAATTCTATTGAAACAATATGTGAATGTGAGTTTGTATCAGTGTCTTCTATTTCAACTCTGAGTTTTAAACTTGAAAAATGAAATTTATAAAAATACAGGGTTTCATAAAATTTCTTGATTTACTTTTGGCATTTACCTGTGAACTCGGTAACTATCTCTAGTTTCATCTTATTTGAGAAACTCTCTGTTGAGCATTAGTACAATTAGTACAATCAGTACAATCATTCATTCCTGTGCAAGGTAGAGGCCAGTGCCATCCTCTTATCTATCACACACCAGAAGATCGATTAATTAGATGTTCTACTCAGAATGCCTGTTCTGCTTGTTGAACTATTGATTTGGTAAGCTGGTATTTCTCCTTCGTCCTACAAAGAACCAAATCTCTGGGCAGAAATTCTACTAGCTGCTGAGAACTAATGTCTCTCTAAAGATGCTTGCTACTTAATTTTTATTTGTATTGTCTATAGTGTGTTTGAGCTGTTGGAAACAGCACATTATACTTTGAAAGGTTACTTTAATTATCATTGTGTTTTGTTTTATTTCATTTGAACAGTTCTTTTATAAAACAGCATACCCAGAAGCATAAAATTCACTTAAATTTTGAAATATTTTGTACTTCGAGATTACTGTGCTTTCCCATACATCTTTCCTTTAAACAAACATGTTAATTAATGAAATCTGATTAAATAACTTTCTCCTTATAATTGGCTTTCTGAAAAAAAAAGTTTGTTCATTTTTGTGAGGTGTGCAAGTGGCATGTCTGCGCTTTTATGTCTGTACATAGTTTTCAATTAGAATTGAAGCACATTTACAAAGTGAATCAGTGTAATTCTCTGAATAAATCAAGCAAAATTCTCCTTTGACTCAGGGATCTTCATGTATTAGACTGAAGTACATTTTCAAAACTTGAGTTATGTAACAACCACCTAAAAACTCCAACTAAATTCACTTACAAATACCTCATATTTTTGAATTGCTCTTACGTTATTCTGCCTCATTCTGGGGGCCTGTGTTTCTTAAACGGATTTTGAAAGTCCACATGCAGACTCATCTCAAGAGTGTCCTCCTTGACTGATGTGTAGGAGATTTGCATATAGTTGGGAACATTTCTGTTCATCAGCCCACTATAATATGCTAGATGTATAATCTGTATTTTGCAAAACCTTATTTCAGTATGTTAAAATATGTGATGTCTGAATGAGTGTCGGTCTGGATTAGAGTTTCTGTGACCTTGGCAAATTGCTTACTCTTCTGTATTTCTTTCTTTTCACAGATGCATTTTGTAGGAGTATTCTGAGGATGAATGTTTGCAAATCATTCTGAAATTGCCAAGTGCCACATACAGTAAGTAATATGTATTTTTATTTTTCCACTCAATTGCACTCATGCTGAATAAATTTGGCATACAGTCATAAAAGAATACATTTCTATTTACAGTTCTTTATATTTGTGGATACTGAGGAAAAATGTATATAAAAGAGAAAATTTGAGCTATTTGCTAGTCTCAATTAAATTGCATAATTTCATGATTTCTGATGACTGATTTTACTTTTGTTCTATGTACATAACTAGTACATAATTTTTATCACTTATTATTTAAGTGAACCTTTTCCTTTTAATCATAAGTTGAGAAGCATGTAGAAAACAACTAGTGTTATTAGCCAGTGTTGCTATGGAAATTTTAAATAGTATTGAATTAAATATTTGAATTTTCTGAGGATTAAGATTTGCTATGTATTAGGCAGTTTATGTATTTTGTCTTAATTCTCCCCCAAATATGTAAAGATCACTATTCTTATTCCCACTTTATAAATGAGAAAATTGAGATCCAAGATGTTTTTTTTTAATTAATTAATTAATTTATTTTTATTAGTTGGAGGCCAACCATTTCACAATATTGTAGTGATTCCCGTCATACGTTGACATGAATCAGCCATGGATATACGTGTATTCCCCATCCCGATCCCCCCTCCCACCTCCCTCTCCACCCGATCCCTCTGGGTCTTCGCAGTGCACCAGGTCCGAGCACTTGTCTCATGCATCCAACCTGGGCTGGTGTTCTGTTTCACCCTAGATAATATACATGTTTCGATGCTGTTCTCTTGAAACATCCCACCCTCGCCTTCTCCCAGAGTCCACAAGTCTGTTCTATACATCTGAGTCTCTTTTTCTGTTTTGCATATAGGGTTATCGTTACCATCTTTCTAAA